AATAAATATATTTATTTATTATTTATTTAATATATAAAAGAAGAAAAAGGAATAAAAAAGAAGAAAAAGGAATAAAAAAGAATAAAAAAGAATATTTATTTGTGTTTATTGGGGTGTATATGCACCTTTTTTTGTACATAATTTGTGGTGTATATTCATCTTTTTTTCTTATTTTTTTCTCTTTTTTTTTCTAATTTTATTGAATAATTATAGCTATTTCCTTGTATTTATTTCTTTAATTAAATTATAATTAATAAAATAATAGATAAATTATTTTCTTTTTCTTTTTTGTTTCTTTTTTATGCAGGTCTTAATAATATTACCAACAAGAGAATTAGCCCAACAAGTCCAAGGACAAATAGAGATATTATTGGGGTGTACGTACACCTCAATATGTATATTTGGTGGTACATCAGATATAATTCAATTAAAAGAAATAAAAAAGAATAAATGTAATATAATAGTATGTACACCAGGAAGAATAATAGATTTTATTAATAGAGGTGCAGTTACACTCCAGGGTGTACAGGCAGTTGTATTTGACGAAGCAGATAAACTATTAGAGATGGGATTTAGGGAGGATATGCAGCAAATACTTTCTTTTATTAAGGAACAAAAAAATAATAATAATAATAATAATAATACAGCAGCAGGTGCTGCAGCAGATAGTACAGGAGCAGCAGCAGGAGCAGCAGCAGCAGCAGCAGCAGGAGGAAAAGATTACCAATTGTTGCTATTTACTGCTACTTTCCCTAAATGGGCAAGAGTAATAGCTGATGATTTTATGAATAAAGATAAAGTATTTATAGATGTAACTGCATACCAGATACGTCAAGGAGAAGAGGAAGCAGCAGCAGCAGCAGGAGGAGGTGATAAATCCGCAGCAGCAGCAGCAGCAGCAGCAGCAGGAGGTACAGGGAGTGGTGCTGGTCTTATAGAGCATTTAGCATTATATTGTCATTGGAAGGATCGAATAAATGCTTTACCATTATTAATAAATTTATACTGCCGCAGCAGCAGCAGCAGCAGCAGCAGCAGCAGCAGCAGTAGCAGCAGTACAGCAACAGAATTAGAAGGAGAAGGAATAAATAAATCATATAACCAATTAAATAGATCAGGAGGAACAGGAGAATCAGGAAAAGATGAAGAAAAAGGTTTATGTGTAATATTTTGTGAGACAAAACAAGAAGTAAATGATGTATCTCTTTGTTCATCAATAAGTAATATAAGTTGCTGTCTACATGGAGATATGACACAACAACAAAGAGATACAACTTTATTATCCTTTAAGAAAAAACAATTTAGTGTATTAGTTGCAACAGATATAGCAGCAAGAGGATTAGATATAAAAAATATAAATTTAATTATACAATTATCTCCTCCTCGTGATATAGATACATATATACATCGTGCAGGTAGAACAGGGAGAGCAGGAAAAAAAGGTATAAATATATTATTTTATTATAAATATAATTCTTCTTTTTTATCTCTTATTGAATATTATAATAAAATTAAATTTATAAGAATACCTTTTCCTTCTTCTTATCAATTACGCATGCATACTATACATAATATTATTCATCATTTATTTCCTTATCTTAATCTTTCTGCTGTTGCTGCTAAGGTTGCTAAAGCTGCTGCTGCTGCACAGGAACAAGGATATGGGCAGGCAGCAGAGCAGCAACAGCAGCAGCAACAGCAGCAGCAGCAGCAGCAGCAGCAAAAAGGGGAAGAATATCTTCTTATTGAACAAGTAACAAAAAAAATACTAAAGACAGAGGACCCTAAGGATATAATTATACGTCTTCTTACTTGTATAGCTAATGAGGGAGCAGCAGCAGCAACAGGAGCAGCAGCAGCAGCAGCAGGAGAAGATGATAATGTGTCTCCTTTATCAGGAAGAAAAGGGTTTATTTCTTATCATTTAATCTTTTCTCCTCCTCCTTCTCCTCCTCTACAAGGATCTTGTTCTTATGTATGGAGGGCATTAAAGAATAAATTCCCTGCTGCTCCTGCTGCTGCTGCTGCTGCAAGAAGAGGAACAGCAGCAGCAGCAGCAGCAGGTGGAGGAGGAGAAGATGTTATAGAGAAAATAGAACAAATGGTACTAACAGAGGAAGGGGATGGGGCTGTCTTTGATGTTCCTGCTGCAGTGCATGCATCCTTTGTGCAGCAAATAGTTAAACCATTAAAGGAAGAAGCAGCAGCAGCAGCAGCAGCTGCTGCTGCTGCTGCAGCAAAAGGGAGAGCAGGAAGCAGCAGCAGCAACAGGAAAGGGTTAACTATTCATCGTCTTTGTGGTACTTTGCCACCCCTACAAGATTGTCTCTATCTTGCAAGAAAAGAACTGCAGCAGCAGCAGCAGCAGCAGCAGCAGCAGCACTCACGTACCTCTCTTGCTGCTCTACGTCTAAACCCTAATCATATATCTAATCGTAGAGGAGGGGGAGCAGCAGGAGGAGGAGGAAGAGGAGGAGGAGCAGCAGCAGCAGCAGGAGGAGGAGGAAGAGGAGGAGGAGCAGCAGCAGGAGGAAGAGGAGGACGCATGCAGCAGCAGCAGCAGCAGAGGGGAGGTGTACGTACACCCGAAAGCAACAAAAGGGAAAGAGGAGATGATAGAGGAGGAAGAGGAGGAAGAATTAATTCCTTTAAGAGACCCCGTACTAATTAAAACCCTAAACCCTAAACCCTAAACCCTAAACCCTAAAAATTTATTCTTTTTTTTCTTCTTTCCTTTTGTCTTGTTTTTATTGTTATTCTTTTCTCCTTAAGGAGATAAAAAAGAGACAAAAAGGAGACAAAAAAGGAGACAAAAAAAGGGACAAAAAAAGGGACAAAAAAGGGACACAATATGCCCTATTTAAAGGGACAGACAATGTTTTTAATTGTTTTCTTATTTGTGTTTTTTTGCTGCTCTTTTTGCTGCTGCTGCTGTTGCTGCTGCTGTTGCTGCTGTCCCTTTCTTTGCTGCTGCTGCTGCTGTAGACGCTGGTGCTCCTTTCCTTGACACACAAATGCAGAGCTAGTACCACTGCCGCTGCTGCGACTGCTGCTGCTGCTGCTGCAGCAGCAGCAGCAGCAGCAGCAGCAGGCGTCTCGTTTTATTATTTCTCCTTAGGTTACTATTTAATAGCCAAGGAAAGACACAAAAGGGAGAAGAATAAAAGGGGGAAAAAGATAGCGCATGCAGTAACGCATGCATTTATCCTTCTTTTTTTGCTCTTATTTATTATTATTTTCTTCTCCTTTTGTTTTTTTTTATTTATTTATAATTGTTGCATGCGCTATAGAAGAAATAACTTATTTATTGTTTATACGCATATATGTTTATATATTTATTATTTAATATATTTATTTAATACATTTAATATAGTTAATCAATATATTTATTAAATGCATTTCTCTAATAAATTAAAAAGAAAAGAAAAAGAAAGGGAAAGAAACAAACAAAGAAAAGAAAGTATGAATGGTATTATTGGGGTGTATAGGCACCTACCTCTGTTTGTTGTTAATGAAGAAATACCTATAAACTAATGCATGTAAATGAATATTTAATTAAAAATAACCAAAAAAAGGTTATTAATTTATTTATTATTAATAAAAAAGAATATTAATTGATTTATTTACTAGATAAAAAGAAGATTTTCTTTTTTTTTTGTGTGTATGAGGAGGAGGAGGTTGGGGTGTATGTGTGTGTGTGTGTGTAAGAGGGGGTCCTTTTTATAGCGCGCCTCTGGTTATTTTCTTGCGTAAAAAGGGAGAAAAAAGAATAAAATAAATAAAATAATAATAAAATAATAAAAATAAATAAAAATAAATAAATTTAGTACAAAAACGATGCATAAAATAGAAGAAAAGAAGAAGAATGATGGGGCTGTACCGCTGGTCTGTTTTGTTGCATCATTAGCTGCCTATACAGCTGAATATATTCATGATGCAGCCTCACGTCACTTCTTATGTTTAAAGAAGTAAAATTTTCTTGTTTTTGTCATTTTAATTGAATAATAATAAATAAAGAAAGTAAAAAAAGAAGAAAACGGAGAAAAGACGGCATAAAACAGTGTTAGTAGGGTTTTTTTTTATTTATTACCCAGTACACTATGCATACGCCGCAAGAAAGGGAATAAATATTTATATTTTTTCTTGTATTCTTTGTTAATTATTCTTTTAATTATTTTAATTAATTAATATTCTTTTTATATTCTTTTATTTAATTATTTTATTTACCATGAAAATACAAGTAGAGGCTACGGATTTAAGAGATGATAAAGTATACACCGCAATTGTTGAACCATGGGAAACCCTACAGACTGTTCGTTCTATAGTAAGCAATTTATATATATATTTATTTATTTATTTATATTTATTTATTTATATTTATTTAATTAATTATTCTACTATTTATTATTCAATAACAATGCAAATACGCCTTCAGCGGGCAAAAAGGCGCTGCATAATGATGGTCTTACTAGGGTTTAGGGTTTAGGGTTTATACATCTTCATCATTTATTTATATTTATAAATATTATCCTGCGTGTGTGTATTCTTCGTCTTCTTCTTTTCCTTTCTTTTTCTTTCTTTTTCCTTCCTTTTTCCTTCCCTTTCTTTCCTTTTCTCTCCTTTTTTTCCCTCCCCTCTCCTTTATTTATTTATTTATTTATTTATTTATTTATTTATTTATTTATTTTATTCTTTTTTCCCCTTCAGTTATCGGATAAAGTACCTAATGCTCCTCCCTCTAATCAGTACTTTTATGTCCGTGATGAATTCGTCAATGCTTCTATCCCTGCTGATCAATTAAGAAAAAAATCCAAGGCAGCAGGAATGTTAGATGATGTTGGTAAACCCTAAACCCTAAACCCTAAACCCTAAACCCTAAATTTTTATATATTATTGGTGTTGTTATTATTGTTTATATTGTATTTAATTAATATTATTGTTGTTGTCTATACTACATAGATATTATTTCTTTTAATTAATTAATTAATTAATTAATTAATTAATTTATTTATTTATTTATTTATTTATAACAGAAGAAAAGGAAGGAGAGCCAAAGAAAGCGCGTTGTTTTTTGTATGTAAATCCAACACCTCTAGATTTTAGCGATATGCTAAATGATGGTAAGATATACTCTTTCTTTTTTTCTTTTTTTTTCCCTTTTTTATTCTTTTTGTGTTAATTAATATGTTTATATTTATTTATTTATTGTTTATATTATTAATAACAGCAGTTTTACCACCAGAAAAGTTATTCCCTTTCTTTTTATATCCCTTATTCGTCTTTTTCTCTTTTTTTTCTTATTGTCTTTCTTCTTACCTATTTATTTATTATTTGTTTTTTTGTTTCTTCTTGTTCTTTTTCTGCATGCATGCACTATAACTTTTCTTTTTTATAATTATTTATAATTAAATATTATAATTATTATATATGTATATCTATATGTATATAGACCTAATAAAGAAATTAAGAGGGAAGGCAGAAGGAGAAATAAAACAAATAGTTTTTCGTATAAATCTCCAAGGCGCAGAGAGTCGTCTTTGTATCCCTGTTGATTCTTCCTCTATTACTGTAAGATATATTATACACACCCTTATATATATAGCAGCAGCAGCAGCAGCAAGAAGAAGAAGAAGAAGAGGAGGATAGGGAAGGGGAGGGAGGAGGTGGAGGTGTAGGGTATATTGATATAATTTTCTTATTGTATGATATTGAGGTGTATGTACACCTCAGGTGGATCAATTTAAACAAATGGTATTAAAGAAGTTAGGACCTTCTTCTCTTACTGGTCTAACACCAGATAAACTTCTTCTGTATGAAAGAGAAACACAACCAGGAAGACCCCTTGAGGTACTCTCTATACAGTTGAGGGTTTAGGGTTTAGACAGGACAATATATATATATATATAT